GGAGAGAGAGAGAGAGAGAGAGAGAGAGGACAAGTGTGTGCATGTGCGCGCGCGCATGTGTGCACTTATAACTGTAAAAAAGTTTTTGCATTGTGTGAGACACACACACACACACACACACACACACGATTAGTAATGTGCACACTGAGTGGCATGAAAACTGTACATCTAATGTACATTTCATACCATAAGCATTAGACTTGACTTAAGTGACAAGATATTGCACTCTTCTCTGTGGCTTTTTTTATTTTTGAAAATGACTCTTGCGCACTGCTGTTCTCAGGTCAGATGACACTGATCAGGAGCACAGCTATTTTGGCCGCAAATACATTGGTGTAGGGACCGGAGGGATTTTGGAGATCCACGGAGCAAAGAAGCTCTCATGGACTTTCTTGAATAAAACCCTCTATCCCGGAGAAAGCCACCAAAATCACTACCTGTTGGAGAGAAGCTGGGGGAACCGAGGCATCATTGTCCATGTAATTGACCCCAAGAAAGGAGAGGTACTGAGTGATGACAGGTGAGTGGACACTCAAATTTGAAGTGATTTCTCTCTCTCTCTCTCTCTCTCTCTCTCTCTCTCTCTCTCCCCTCAACCATTTGGTTTTCTTTTTGTACTTTGTATATTCAACAGATTTTATTGCTTAAGTCCACACTGTGCAAAGCAGCAAACTGTATTTTATGATCTAGAAACATTTTCAGGAGGGCAATTTCAAACATCCTTAAACTTAAATTTAGCATTTTTTTAAATCAAAGTCACAAGGCATTAACAAATTTTGGAAGTGTAAAAGGCCCTACAATGATGACACCTCAAGAGGAAATAATTGAAATGGTAAGTGTTTATTAATGTTCAATTTCAATTAAAGGGATACTTCACAAATGTATGCCATTTGCAGCAGTAAAATGTTTTTCCTATAATTAACTTCATAATCTTACAGTTTGCCGCCATGTTTATTGAACACATTGCTAGATACCCGGCATCTGTGCAAACATTGAACTAGATTACACAATGATACATGCACACAGCTACCCCGAATGGAATGCACCTACGGCGTTAATCCTGAAAGATTGAAGACATATCGTTTCCAGCCAATATTATGAAGTGAGATTCCACTCGATGTGAAAGATGCAGCAGTGGATGGTCTTTTCAAACTACACTTTGGATAAGGGGTGGATAGGGAGGTGCAACATACATGGTGCTCGTTTGCGAGCTACAACGCCATGGACAATCTTGGAAATAATATCGCCATACCTTGCACGCATGATCAAAAGAGCACGGCTTTGGTCCGGTGTATCATTGGTTTAATTACGAGGGCTGACTCTGCCTGTCTTTTGTACAGCCCCACAAGTGTGTGTGTGTGTGTGTGTGTGTGTGTGTGTGTGTGTGTGCGTGCGTGCGTGCGTGCGTGCGTGCGTGCGTGCGTGCGTGCGCGCGCGCGCGTGCGTGCGTGCGTGTGCATGCGTGCGTAACTTTTTTAGTATCCCATTTTAATTTTAATTTTTATTTAACAGGAACAATATATAAGACATTGCCTTCTAAAATTTGGATAATTATATGCATGTAAAACATTTAGCTTCAGTGTATTTGCAATTTTAGTCCCTGGTCAGGCTTGAAAATGTATTAATTTATATTTATTGAATACAATAAAAAAAAATAATTAATACAATTAATAAATAGCATCAATCAATCCATTTTAGACACTTGTATATGTCTGAGTGCCTCAGCAATCTAAGTGTACCGGGTTAGTGTATATGCTGTGTCCATGCAGAACTTGTGTTTACATTTATTTGGTTTGTCTTGTTTCCCAGGACCCTGATGGGGGACAGGAGAAGGAGCTTCAAGGCAGGCTGGTACCATATCCACCCCTGGCTTGAATATTCTCAACAGATGGACTCGGCGTATTGTTACGCTTGCAGATATTTTAGCCCTCCTAATACTGTTTTTTTCTCATCACTGTAATGTTATGACTACAATGCTTT